AAAAAAAAAAAGTTTATGAGTTCACACGTACTTGGGTTCTCGTTAATCATAATATAAATCTCGAACAATCACACGTACTTGGTTCCCTTCGAGGCAGAACAACCGAAAGGTCTCTAGGGCTGCTCAATTCCAACAGTCTCATCATGCAGTTTATGAGTTCAGTAGAATGTACAAGTTTTTTGTCTGAAATCTTATCTTCCGTTAATTACCGACATAAGACTTACCATTTTGAGCACTACACCTATTAACAACTTACACCTGCACTTGGAAATTCCATTCAGAAAACATGTAAAATTTAGTTTTCTGCTTAATAAGTCTAAGTTAGCCTTGGCCCAGCTTCTCGGTTCGTGCATGAAGGGCAACAATTACTTAAATTAAACTATTAGTTGTAACGAATAGTTTTCACTTGTGCAGGGAAAGCAACTGTGATAACGATTGGAGGGCTCGTGGCTGGTGCAGTGGTTGGCTCAGCAGTGGAAAACTGGCTCCAGGTTGATATTGTCCCATTTATGGGAGTACACTCTCCGGCTACTGTTGTGAGCGAATTTATACTTTTCTCGCAATTATTGATCTCCTTGTACTTGAGATAGAATTAAAGCTCAGTTGGTGTGTATAACTCAAACCCTTGGAGGGTCATCATCTATGTTAGTTGATCAAAAAAAGCTTTATCTAGGATTTGTATTTGAATATTACACTTGTATAAATCGAATGTTCAGAACCTATGTCAGTAAATATATTTCTCTGGTTATATGTTGTCTGGTGTGGTGGTTTTTAAACAATTCTTTCATTGTTATTGTAAGGTGTGAAGTGCTTTTGGAGCAATAATTTAGCTACGCTTCTGCAAAAAAATACATGGCAAATGCTGAAGATATGTACTAAAAGTTTGGAAGAAATCACAAACAATGCCTCAGCGAGTTGCTTTGGCACAATAATCTAACACACAAAACTAGGAATCAAGAAAACAATAGAAAATCGGAAAAAAAAACACACAATCTAACACACAAAACTATCATCTGCCACCATTTTCAACTTGCCCACTCTCTGTAAAACTCTTCCCACCATTCTCAACGGCAATCAGCTCGTTATACATTTTCAAAACCGCCCTTGAAAATTCGCTCATACTCTCAAAAACCCTACAAAACCCCGACTGAAAACCGTTCAGCGTGAGCCTCTCAGTTTCCTGCATGCACTTAACATGCTTCTCCTTCTCCAGCTCCACCTTCATCCGAAACTCATCCACAGTATCCTTACAATTGGGCCAAGACCCAGCC